ATAGAATAGAATAGAATAGAATAGAATAGAATAGAATAGAATAGAATTCTTTATTGGCCAAGTGTGATTGGACACACAAGGAATTTGTCTTGGTGCAAATGCTCTCAGTATACATAAAAGAAAAGATACATTTGTCAAGAGTCAAGAATCATCAGGTACAACACTTAATAATAGTCATCAGGTACAATAAGCAATCAAATCATACCAGGAAACAGTCAATATAAATTGTAAGGATAAAAAGTGACAAAGTTACAGTCATACAGTCACAAGTGGGAGGGGATGGGTGATAAGGAGTGATGAGAAGATTAACAGTAATAATAGTGTACACTTTGTAAATAGTTGGACAGTGTTGAAGGAATTATTTGTTTAGCAGAGTGATGGCATTTGGGGGAAAAAGTGTCCTTGTGTCTAGTTGTTCTGGTGTGCAGTGCTCTATAGCGTCGTTTTGAGGGAAGGAAGTTTTATCCTTTTCAATGGATATCAATGAGGCTTCATTAACAAAGTGACAGCCAGACTCCTCTTCCCATTTTTAAAAATCCAATATGAAAAGTTCACAGAGCAAGAAGGGTGGCTACTTGATCAAATTTTTACATTATGGTTTTCAAGAGAGCTTCAAGTCAATTTATTTTAGTCAAGGAAAAGAGATAAAGACAATGGTTGACAATAATTTCCTTTTTGTTTGGGTTTGTAATAATTAATTCTATTACACTTAGAACTAATCCAAAATGAACTCTTAAGATTTTCCAAGTGAGCAGTGAATCTTGAAAGGCCATTTCAAGATACCTTTTGGAACTTCAAACCTTTCAGCATAGGAAGAAGAGTTCACCAACTTATCAACTACTGTCTTTCTACTTTCTCATTCTCTTTCTCTCTCTTTTAACTAACTGGCATTTCTAATAAAGCTTTCCCTAGCTAGGGAAATGGTACTTATTCATTACATACATTACATGCAGATTATTGAAATGGTACTTATTCATTACATGCAGCTGTTCATTAGATTCTTCTCCAAGGCATGATACACAAAGCATTTGTGGATTCTGTCTCACAAGTAGTAGTGATAGTTGTTAGTTTTGTATATGTTCAGATGGCTTTAAAAGTTGATTAGGGAAATGTACTAAGGCTAAGTTTAGCAGTGACGTTTAAATCACGAATACTACAGAAAGCCGGCTACAGATGCAATAGGCCATTGGAGAGATATTCCAAAAAGCTTCAGTTCCACATCAGTTATGAGATGAGATCCTTTGTGTTTAGGTGACATTGTTACTGGTGGGTAGTCAGTAAAGAATGTTCCAATAAATTTTTTATTTTTAACTAATAGTGAACAGCAATTTCAAGTTTGCTTCTGATGGGTGTTTTGTCTGTCCATGGGATAACTCTGATGGGTGTTTTGTCTGTCCATGGGAGAGGAATTGGCTCCTTTATCAAGGGGCATTGAAGCAAAATTGCTATTGCATTAGAATCTGATCAGTTGGCAGGAGAGCTTTGCAACCCTGAGAAATACAGAAACAACTACAAAAAACATTTTCCTTTCTTTTCGTGAAAGGATGAAATATTTTTAGGATAAAAAAATGGACAATAGGGTAGTGGAATGAAGTTCCTTGGCAACCAATGACAAATTTGTGTTCAACTACTAACCAGAAACAGCACTCAAACGAAATAATCAAGTATTCTGAGAATAAGGAGGCAAAACAGAAGCCTCTCTTGTCAAGGAAACAGCCCATGAGAGGGAGATATTGGCTGGTGGCCACTTGAAACAGGTCCATGCTGAGAGACCCCTGAGGCCAGGTTAGATCAGAAAATGGTCAGAGTGACCCAGGTGAGTCTCAGCTGAACTTTAAGGTGAACATTCAAGAATCACAAGAAAAAGATTCTTGACTTTGTACAAATTATAAGGCAGCAACAGTTACTAGTGTGGTTTTGTTCATGTGTGTCAATGTTATGTTGAAAGCTTGCCGTTTCTCAAAGGGCTGTTTCCTCAGGGCTTCTGTTTTGCCTCCTTATTCTCAGAGTACTTGATTATTTTGTTTGGGGGCTGTTCTTGAGCTTGATTTATGGTTGAAATTGGCAAACATTTCATTGCTGGTATTGTCCATCTTTTTACATGTTTCTTTGAATGTCTTTGTCTCTATTGTATAAGAGTTCCTTCATAGTATCTTCCCTTGGGTTTTGGTTGTGCTAAATCAAAAACTGCACAGACTGCCAGAAAAAGAAGCACCATTCTTATATACACAGAAACATCTTTTACCCACCTTGTAACTAACTAGATGCAAGAACAGCAGATACCCCACCTGTGATCATTTCATCAAAGTGTTTCTCTTCTTTGAAAGAAAGAAAGAAATCCCTGAAAGCAAATTATCTTCCTTCAATCAAGTGAGAACTGCTACAGGATAATTTTTCAACACAATAGTTATTGTGTTTTATTCTATATGTCTTACTTACACCCTAAAAGTCCATCTTAGTTTGAATCTTTGCTAGAACTGAAACATCTACTTGTTCTTTTTTTAAAAGCAAACTTTATTGAATATACAATTAAAATAAATGAACAAACACATACACAACATAGAAAAAGAGAAAAAAATGAATAAAAGGCATTTCCATTATCGACAGTTTGTGGTTCCTTATTTGTTATCATTATTGGTGTCATATTTATAATTAAATCTTAATGCGAGTATATAGATACTACCTCCTTTACGGTTTAATAATGTTTGCTATTATATTATCTATCTTTGTTCTATCCAATCATCCCAACATTCCCAACTCTTGTAATATTCTGATGATTCTTTATCCTTAAGTGCTAGGGTAAATTTATCCATTTCTGCACAGCTTACTATTTTCTGAATAGTCATTTCCTCTGTTGGAATATAGGCTTGTTTCCAACATTGTGCAAAAGCTAATCTAGCTGCAGTAAGTATGTGTAATATTATGTATTTGGCTTTTTGGGGGGAGTTGTCTATTGAATATCCCGAATAGGAAGAATTCTGGTTTTAATTCAATCTGCTCAGCCGTTATTTCCTCCAACCATTTTTTGATTCTCCGCCAGTATCTTTGGGCTTCTGTATAAGACCACCACATATGGTAGAATGTTCCGTGTTTCTTTTTACATTTCCAGCAATTCAGATTCATGTTAGGAGACATCTTCGCTAATCTCAAAGGAGAGAGATGCCATGTGTAGAACATTTTATAGGCATTTTCTTTATATGTTGCCGATTTTGTGATTTTATTATTCCTGATCCAGACCTTTTCCCATTCTATTAAGGTGATGCTACGTCCTTATGGCGTGCATAAGCGCACCAACATGCCTACCGTCCCTGTCCTATTGTTTCTCTTATTCTTCTTTTATTTTTCTTATATGTACCCATTTCATGTATTCACAACTATGTATACACTTATACTTATTATCTTGTAAACAATTGGCAAATCAAATAAATAAATAAATAAATAAAATATTTCTACTCCAAGCTATCATATTGCCTTTGACTACTTCCTCCTCTAGTTCTATCTCTAATAGGTAGTTGTAAAATTTGGTTATATTTTTTTTGTCTGAACCTAGTAAGATTTTATCTAATTGTTGTGGCTTACTGTAAATTCCAAAAGCTTTCTTATCCTGTCTATATCTATTTTGTATTTGGAGGTAAGCCCACTGGTCAATTTGTAGCCCTTGTTCTTGGAGATCTTGCCATGATTTTAAAGTTCCTTGTGCATCCAGTAGGTCTTTGTATTTTATTATCTTGTTAAGATCCAGATTGTTTGGATGTATCATCGCCTCCATCGTTGAGATCCAAATCGGGATCTTTAGATAGAGTTTTTTCTTTATTTTATTCCAATTAGCCAATAAAGAGTCTCTAATTACATGTCTGTGGAAGTAATTCTGTTTGGTTTTCCCTGTGTCCCATAAGAACGCATGCCACCCCCTCTGTAAATCATGGCCTTCTAGAAATAATATTCTTTTATTCGATAAATTTACCTATTCTTTCAGCCATAGTAAGGAGGCTGCGCTTGTAGTTCCCAATTTGAGAGTGACATACTCCCCCTGCTCTTCATATCTTGCATTGCTTTTAAATTTATTCTTGGGTTTTTTCCTTGCCAAATAAATTTTGCAATTATCCTATTGAGTTCCACAAAGTAGTTTTTATGTATTTTTATTGGTATTGTCTGGAACAAATAAATAAATTTAGGAAGAATGGTCATTTTAATAGTGGCAATCCTCCCTAATAGGGAGAGTTGCAATTTAACCCATAGCTCTAGGTCTTTTTTAACCTGTTGTAGTAGTTTGTTATAGTTATTTTCCATTAGTGTCTTACAATGAGCCGTCAGCCATATTCCTAAGTATTTAATTTTCTTTACCACCTGTAATCCCATTGCCTTTTCCAATTCTGATTTCTGTTTTCCTGTTAAGTTTTTGGTTATTAATTTCATTTTTTCCCTGTTAATTTTGAGTCCTGTGACTTTCCCAAATTGATCTAACTCTTTCAACAGTTCCTGACCTACTTCAATTGGGTCCTCTGTGAAAAAGACCATATCATCTGCGAATGACTGCAATTTATATTCTTCTTTCTTAATCTTTAACCCCTTTATTCCTGGGTTCTGCCTAATTCATGTAAGCAGTGTTTCCAAAGGTAGTATGAAGAGCAGGGGAGATAATGGACATCCTGCCTAACTCCTTTCTCTATTTTTATTAAGCGCGTATATTCTCTATTAATTATGATATTCACCTTTTGTGAGGCGTAAATTGTGGTTACGAGAAACATCTACTTGTTCATAGGTTTTAAAACATTAATGAGGACTTGATGTTAGTGGACGTATTGGTGTCTTCTAGAACAAAGACATTCTGTTTTTGTCAAAAAATAAGAACTTTTTTCACTGTATTATATACACTATATACATTATACTGAATACATTCTTTTAAAAATCCTGACATAAATGGATAGCTATTTTGTGTGCTGGCCACGATTACAGAAGCCTCTTCGGACAATGTTGGGTCCCTTGGATCGGAAACTGAGATTGCCCCCTAGAGATGGACACAACTGGAGAGGGGAAACCTGTACCTTTTTTTCCCCATTTTCATTTCAGCAATGTTCTCTATCAAATTCTTCCTTCTTATTGTTGTCACATTTTGCACAATTCCAATAAATGTAATTCTGCTTTCTCTGTCAGATGATGCTGTGCACAAGAATCTTCAATGTTATTTTAATGGAATTGATCGTCTCAAATGCAGTTGGGAGGTGAGACAAGAAGTCAGCAATTCTATTTTGTTCACACTCTTTTACAAAGACAAACCTGGATCAGAGTAAGAAACTAACTTTAAATCAAATATTTTCCCAAATGACTTACTTTTTAATTTAATATATGTATTTAAAAGTTCTCTCTGTCGTGTTCATTTATATGCAGAGAGATGGAATGCTCTGAAATCTATCAAGTACCCCTTATAAGCAATAATGCCACTTATTATGTATTGCAAAGCTGCGAGATCAATGTCACTAATCCCAACAAGCAAAGCCAATATTTTGTTCGTGTGATACCAAAAGAAGAAGCAAAAGATATTGAGATGTATCTGAACAGTAAGTCTTTTTAGAGAATTTCACAGAAACATGTGCTGATTCCTGTAATTCTTGATTCTCTTATTTGGATTATAACCAATACAGAGTCATAAAAAAGCAAACATGCAGAGAAAATGGATTGTACTCTTATGATCTTCTCTAGGATATGTCTAGCAGATTAAGGAGGATTTAGGTATAGCCTGAAGACACAATCTCACAACTTCACTGAAATTAAACAACCCTGGATTTTATCAGTGCCTAAATGACTAGTCTTTAAACATCTCACATACTTTGAGTTGAATTCCACAATAAAGATGGGAGTTAATGTAATCAAAACAATAATCATCTAACTGACTACTGTGGCATGTACTGTATGAAGTAGAGACTAGATTAAGATTGTGAATAATCCATGTTCAAGTTTGTCCTCAGAAGTTTACCTGGCAGCTTCTCATATCACCATTGCAATGTTTAACATATTTACTTTGTAAGTTCAACTGTAGCAGCCTTTTATAAACCTTGTCTATAAGATGTTCATCATTAGTACAAAGTACAAAACTTTTAATAACAATATAATGGATAAAGGAATGCAGGCATCCTGTTGTTTTTTGCTTTCATGTTTTAGCATCAAAACAATAATAATTCAATGGGTGCACAAAAGAAAGGGTCTGCGTTAGTATTAAAAGAGAGAATGCAGGCAAAAGATGATAACATATTCAGAAAAGACGAAGGAAATGTCCACAAATGGCATTTGACTGGATAGGAGACTTAACCATATAAAGGGCGGTAAGCCCCTGAGACTTGCTGTCTCAGTCTGTCCTGTGGAATTGTCCAAAACAGAATTTCTCAATCTTGGCAGTGTGAAGATGGGTGAACTTCAACTTAGCTTAATAAAGTTGTCTAAAACTCAGAATTAGTTTCTTTTGCACATGATAGAGGGCAGCAAAGGATGTTTCATGAGTGATTGTTGTTCCAGCTGACTAAGGCTTTTGCTCGGGTTTTCTATTGATATGAATTTACTAGTATTTGCATATTTCTGGTAAAAAACACAATATATATATATATATATATATATATATATATATATATATTCATTTATATGCATTTATATGCAACTATATATATATAGTTTCAAATGAAAGAAAGTAAAACTCTAATTCTTCCTTATATGTTATTCTTCTATCCTTATATGTTGTTCTTATGTTTACAATGCTGAATTAAAGTTGTCAGGTTTTTTTTCCCTGGCAAGTTTCTCTTCCCGGATAATTAAAATTATATACTGGGATGTTATGAAAAACTAATTGAATCTGACCTAGGCAGATTTACAAGCATATCATCTGGCTCAGGTTTTTTTTTTTAAAGTAAGAGCTTACCAATATTAGGAATATTCCTCTTCAATGTGAAATTCAGAAAAATCTAATGAAGGAAAGAATTAGAGAGGATGTAATGTATTTAGAGCCTGAAAAAGAGTCAGAATCTTATAATAATTAAATTGAAGAATCTCTTGATACATTCTTTTGTTTCTTCTAGTCAAGCCAGACCCACCTTACAACCTGTCCATGTCAGTAACTGATGGTCCTAAATACATCCTCCGCTGGCACTCCAAAATCATCAGTAGTTTTAATTTGCAAAAGACACATGAGATTTCATACTGGGAAACTGGGAAACCTTTAGAGGTAAGAGAGAATAGATTGCTTCCTACAGCAATCAGATTATGTTTCTGTTTGCCCTCATGTAATTTTCTTTTTTCCTCTCTTATCTTTTTTTCCCTTCCTCTCAGGCCCAAGTAGAAAACATTACAAACCAGGAATTTACCTTCACTTCACAGTTCCTGGAGCTGGGCAAAAATTACAAAGCAAAGGTGCGAACAATAGTAAACGAACCTTACAAAGGTTATTGGAGTGAATGGAGTGAGGAATTTGGCTGGCAAACCACCAGTGGTAAGTTAAGAGTGCACACTAATCTTATTTTGGTCTATATCGGGAAATAGTTTATGTTATCTTCAGAAGACAAAATATAATGCGTGCATTTGGCTTTGGTTGTGACCCAGAATAACTTTGATTGTGATGAACCCCATATGTAGAAAATTGATTTATTTTTTCCAAAACAATATCACAGTGTGATCTTTTATAGATGGAGTGGTATGCACACATCTCATTTATTTATTTATTTCAAAACATCAATTCAATACTGCTTTTCATCAAAAGTACTGAAATAATTTAGAAACAAATGCTCTGAACTAAGGAACAGAAATAATGAAAACAGTGAAATAAGCTGCAATTATAAAACTATTTAAAAAATAAATACAATCTGTGCAAATTATGTAATTGCATGCAAAAGATCACAGATTCAGTCCCTGAGATCTCCAAGTAGAGCTCTGAAAATTCCTGCCTAAACTTTTGAGCTATCTTCTCTTTGCCAGCTTGTAGTAGAAGTGGAACTGTATCTTGGGTGGCATAGTTTCCCAGGCATCTTCAAAGGCAGCCCATTTGGATATAATTCCACACTGTACTGTGTTCTGATCTGATTGTTTTTGTTCTTTTCTCCCTAAAACTAGCTTTAATAGTTCATTTAACTGATTTTCTTCTTTTAATCCTCTATTCTGTTTTAGGTTTTCCTCTCTGGGGTATGTTGCTAATAACAGTAGTCTGTATCATTCTGATGATGGGGGGAATTTGCTTTTGCAAAAAATATCTTCTCAGGTATGTCTGGTGTACATTTTAACATGTTGGCATAACAGAAGGGGGAGGGTTAAAAAAAGTATTGAGTTCGAAATCTGACCAGATTATCCAAAGAACACACCGGATAGGTCAGTTGGAGCAGAGGCATAGTTGATTTGGGAGCTTACATGAAGTACCCAAATCAAAGCTTGCAACAGAGTTATAGCTGTCAAGTGGTTATCTTTCTATCTTGTCCTTTATTCCTCACAGAAACAGAGCCCATTCATTGGAATTCATTGGAAACTATGATTAGCTGGATGACCAAAAGAGAGGCTTGATGGTTAGGCACCCTGCTGATTCTGTGTGGGTTTTCCACTTATTTACCATATCAGCTGACTTCTTGCTTAATTAACAGTTACAGCCAGAGGTGGCAAACACAGAAGAAAGGATCTTTTGTCTATCATGAAAGGAATGTCTATCTCCACCTCTTTGTCAAGTTCTTTATCTTTTGTTTCAGTGTAATTTCTTATGTTTTGTCCTGGAAATAGCTGTGAGGTTGAGATTTTTAGGAACAAAGGAAGATTGAATGGGAGATTCCTTTCCACAATAGCAAGCAGCTATGCTAAGAGTGTTCTGTTCATTTCCCTTAACTCATGTGTTAGGTAGGGTGACCTTCCCCAATTTGTTACATTCAGATGTGCTGAGATGACAAGTTACAGAATTCTAGCTGGATATTCCAGGAATTGTAGTCACAATGCATCTAGAAAGGACTAGGCTGGAGTTAGCTGTTTCAGAATTTGAGGGCAATTTCAAGCATTATATGAAAGTTGCTTCACTATATAGCCAAGGATCTCAGGGCTGCTTGGATTGGTGGTTTCAGAAATTTGCAAAGTAAACAATTGACAGAATTTTGGGATAGTAACTAAGTATTAGGTTTCAAATAAAATAACTCTATTGCCATTATCTCATCACTTTCCCCTTGACTGAACCCAGCAAATGTTGTTTAGAAAAAACCTAAGCATTTCTGTTTGCTCAACAATGTAATGTCTATTTTTTATAGAATTATTTTTTTGAACATGACATAATTGGGTTAAACTGAGCTTTCTTTGCCTCATTGACTTTATCTGCAATTGTCCCAAGCCTCTGTGAAGTCTTTGCAGACTTCACTTCCATTATACAGCCTCAGGTCTGAATAGTTCTCTGTAGTCTTGTTCCAGTAGCTGTACTCTTTGGGAGTAAATACGTGTACACTGCTATCTACATCTTTTCCAGTGAAAATTCCAAGCAACACAAAGCATATTCTTTTTCAATGTGTTGTTCTAATCAGTTTGTACCAAGCGGGATTTAAACATTACCTTGATTCGCCATTTTTTTTTTTTTTTTTTTTGCTGGGAATTATTTTAGCACTGGTTGTATAGGACTATTTTGTTTGCATAGATTGTGCAGTGTCACTTGGCCCAGGTAAGTAGATATGTAACATCTTGGGCAATAAGCTATTACATGACACCCAGGATCATTTTCTTCATTCCATTCATCCTCACAAATATCAGTTCCATTAGTATTACATAATTGCTTTGCATAATTTCTCCTCCCAACAATGCTGGCTTCATTCAACCTGTCTGTCAAAAGTTGTCAGAATTCTGAGAAACTCAGTGAAAATTTCACTGTGGCTGGGAGGCTGCATGAAAGCTGAATCTTAAAATCCTTTATAAGAGTATTTGTGGTCAAAGTTTTATTTCTGTCGCTTGTTGCTGTTTATTTTATTTCTTTAAAAAAAATCTTACATTTATGATTAAGGACTGAAGGCAAATTTACATGGTGTTTTCAGACATGTTGGTCTGAAGGTCTCTAATATTTACAAATTAGTTAACAAGCAATTTCTGAAAGTGATTAGAAAAGGAACTTTGTGAGCTTAGTAGTCTTTAAAAGGCCCAACTGTGGTTGCAAGCGAGATGGCTATTTCCATTGTCTCCCAGTGTTAAAAAATAAAAATCTAGAACCAAGAAGAAACAAATATATAGAGCACTTTGGGTAATCTCCCTTTTCTTCCATACCTGGAGAGGTTCCAAGCCTCTCTTTGTTCTTTGCTACAATCATCAACTCCATGTTTCATGGAGCCATCTTCAGACTGCCATTTCTGTTGTGACTGGAAGGATCGATCCTGCTGTGAGTTTTGACTCTGATGATTCTAATGATGAAAGGCTGGAGCCTGCTGTGAATGTGGAGTCTGAATTATCAGAGGCTTTGAGTGGGGAAGCTGAAAGATCGTGGTTTGACGCCAGAACTAGGAGGAGACTGAAACGTCAAGCTGAGGGGAGGCGTCAAGTCAGACAGTGATTAGGGAGATTGATACGCCAATCCAGGTGATTTAAGGAGGCGTGATGAGTCTCAAACTTTGCTTGGAAGCAAAGTGTTTGATGTGTCGAAAGGATACTTGGGGAGCAGCCTTTGTAATTTATGGACATTCTGAATTACCAGACAGATTCCGGGAAGTCTGCCAAGGACTGGAATATAGCATTATTAACCCTTTTGTGGTCTGCTTCTGTTTTGTTTGAATGTTTGGAATTGTGGAACTTTGTATTCTCACTTGTGAATATAGGTGGGACATAACACATTTCTACCTCCAATTCCAAACCAATTCAATCAGTTCTTTGTCCTGTCCTTACTCATTTTGGGGAGGGAGGCCCTCAAAGGCTATGGGTAAAATGGAAATGGATAAAGTACAGGTGCAATCAATGGGAGCTAGGTCCTCATTTAAGATTTTGAAACGAAACTGTCTGATAGGGTTAAGGATTCTAGAGCCTAGGCCTAATATTGCCCTTTTCCATTTTGCAACTGGCTCCTGCTTCTTTGGTTCATATCACTCTCTTCTGCTCATCTCAGTTTCAAGATTTGGAACAGGTCCTAAGTCATTCAGATTTTATTGGATCCCATCTTTTAGCAGCTCAGACAATAAGATGATTTGAAAGAATGATAGGAGATATCTGGTAACATCAGGAAATCACCAGTACCTAAGATAAGTAGAATAGCAGCAAAAGCTGGTCTGGCTATCTGCGAATATGGAGTGGGGACTTGACTGCCCACTCACTATTGCCTTAGTGTGGCAGCTGCCAAAGTAAAGGTGAGGTTTTGGTGCTGGTTGAACAGAAGCAGGTATAATCTTGGTGAATTCTCTGAATTAAATATGCACTTTTGCTACAGCATGAAAAAGGAATGGGAAGCAAATATTCCAAGTCCTCCGAAGACGTTTCTTCTCCCCAATTTTTTTCCGGTAAGAAATATTTTCCTAAAACATGACTTATTGGCATTTAATACACTTTTAAGCTATAATAACAGGGTTGTAAAATGAAAAAAAATATGAAATATGAAATTATCTAAAACAGATTCTTTAGCAGACAAACAGAATCGAGGCTTGATGTTAAATCACACCCTGGCCAAGGGCTAGCTGTGGTGGGAACGATATCCTGGGAGCCAAACTTGAGAAAGGCTGTTCTTAGGGCACATCCAAATAACTGGGGGGAAGTTGCTACCTTTCAGTCTACAAGGTTGTGGAATCGATATCTAGAAGGAGATAAGCATATGGCCCATATGGTGATGTAAAAGAAAAAACAAACCCAAAATGAAAAAAAATCACATGGAGCCTCCTAAAGCTGAACAATGCGTGTTTGCACATGGATGATATTCTACTGTAACCACGAAATAGGCTGGATTTTTGCACCATTGCTAGACCTAATTTTGGCCAGTCTTGTGTATCACCATATAATGGCTTATAATTTCACAAACAGCCTTCCCTATGTTTTAGACGTTTGGCCAGAGATTATCTCTGGCCAAATGTAATACTTGGCCAGAGATTTAATCTTTTAAAATCACCTCCCTAAAGATCAACAGTTAACTACTGAAGTCAATAAGGAAACAATATACCAGTACTAGCATAGCTAA